AAAGCTCATACAAAGCAAGAACGAGCTCTAACAATAGCCAAACATTCAGAATGAACAGCCAGAGTCCAACCAAATGAAAATTTTGAAACAAAAGCAGCCAACTAATACAATCTCTAACCTCCCAGCACACACACACACATAAAAAAAATTGGAAAACCCAAATGATTCCCTCTGTCAAAAAGCGAATGAGTTCCTGATTTCCACTGACAATAGGCAAGCTTCTACCAGCTAAGACGAGTTATTATCCAATTACTTACACACACAGACAAACAGGCTTCGGTAAACAAAGAAAACATATGGAATTAACTACGAGGCTTGAATGTGCTTAGAATAAAAAAAAAAAAAAAAACAAATAAAAAAAAAAAAAAAAAAAAAAAACTAGCAAACAAACTCAATAGTAATTTAACAAGTTTCTAAGTTCCATTTTCAAACACTGAAATAATTCTAAAATATCTTATCAATACGAACCCAGCGCCAACAATTAATAATCGAGCCAATTTAAGTACTTCATTACTTAAATACTTTATTCAATTAAAAGGGGTTCTCTTTGATGAATCACACTGAGGAGCCCCACCAAACACTATTTAAAACTGTTGAACTTTTTGAGTCACAATATAAGAGATAACTTGAATTAGATAAGACATATTTGACCCAATGAATTGCAATGCGATCAATCAAAGCCATGTATTGAAAGCCCATTGATAACGATTCGACTATAAAAGACAACGCGTGCGACCCATTCCTCACAGAGTTCTTTCTACCTCTAATCAAGCAAAATGATTGAAAAGTGTGTTCTTTTAGCGCTCCTGGTTGCCTTCGCCAGTGCCTCACCACTCCAGGACAATGGCCTGGTCAACTATCGTGAGGCCCTTGACATGTTCCTCGACGCCTGGAAGAAGATGTTGCCATGTGGCTTTGCTGCTGACAATATCCCAGTCTTGGCTCCACTGACTCTCGATTTCTACGCCTTCAACTACGTCAATGGAGACACAAACCTGGTGGGCAATGTGAGCAACATCCGCATTTCTGGTCTCAACAACTTCCAGGTGCTCAGTGGCAGTTACGACGAGAACACGACGCACGCCACCTTTGACGTTCTGTTCCCTGCTCTTCAAATTTTGGGTTCCTACGAAGTGGAGGGTGTTCTGAGCATTGGCGGTCTTCCACTGCCCATTCGCCAGAGTGTTCTGATTAACAAGAAAATCACTGACTGGCGCTTCGTGGGCGAATACACCTTTGGCCAGAGCCTGAGCAACTCAAATGGACTGCGCATCAAGGACTTCTACCTACAGATACTTTGTGGCTGGTGTGGAGGCCGATAACTGGGATCAGTACATGGATGTTGCGGCAAACAACTATTTAAACAGTTTCATCAACTCATTCTCTCTGTTGTTCACCGAGGAGATTCAGCCTTATGTTAACCCCATGTTTGCAAAGTATGTGCTGCCCTCCATCAATAGCCTGCTCTCCAATCTCGATATGACTGAGCTGAGCAACTACTTTGCTATGCAAGCGGAGCTGTGGAACAATGCCGCCTGCAATGTTAAGGCTTAATAATTTGTATAACGAATTATAATAAATCAATAAAGCACATAATATATTGACATTTTTATTATCAGTATCTACGAACGATATCTTTTGAGTGATTATTTTTGTGAATTGTATAATGCGTATAATACATACATAAAGATATTATACTCATTATACTCCCGTCATATTTAGATTTTGAGGAAAGCAAATCAAGATATGAAGAAATATTTCAGATGTTAATTTATTTTTATTAAAAAGATAGAGAGAATAATGCGATTTAATGTGATTTATTAATAACTGACAGGTATAATGTGTATATTACATATCTTAAAGAACTCTGAATTGGAATTTAAATCAATTCTGAAATTGATTACCGACTGCGAAAGAATTATTCTATACCCGTAAACTGGCGGTATTTGATGCAATAAACCAACACTCGAGTCGGTACCATGGCAGATTGGAGCGACACAGAAACAGACCTAGGAGGCAACCAAGAGGCTCCATTCTTCGAGCTTCTGTGATGATGAACTGAAGCTGACAAAAAACAGCTGCCATTAATATTGATTTGTAAATTAATATTGATTTTTAAATATTGTATATAGCCAGCTAATTATTACTGCTAACTAAGCTACGTTAGCCGAAGTGCCCAAGTGGGTAGAAATGTTGATACTAAGATCACATAAGGGTTTTTGAAGTACCCCATATGTCTTATTTAATCATAATTTAATTGTACAGCATGCCTGAAAGTAGGCTATGAAATGTTTTATAATTCTTAAATAGTACGAGTGTGAAATAGTAGTAGATTAAAAATATAGTAGCTGAGGTCTAGCTAAATACACCTATTATTTTCTATTGACTGTTGACGACCATTCGAGACTGATTGACCGAACACAAAGTAAGTAGTATAGGTAATTCCTAGAAATGTACATTTAGAAATTCTCGAACGATTACAAATTTTAAATATTTAAGAAGTAGTTTTATGTAATGGCTGTCTTGCTGTCTATGTAAAAGCTAGGAAGTTGAAGTTTCGAATGTATGCTTATAGATACCCTAGTCTAGCCAACAGTTAACACAGTATATGTCAAAATTATCATGATTATATATTCTAGACCCGAAGTCTCTCGATTATGCTATCGAAAAATATATTTCAAGTGTCAGCTCTCTAACTAGCATACAAACAGCTGACCAAGCCTGACAGAGACAGACAAATATTATATAAGAGGTAACTGTTTTTTTTCCTTCTGTCAAGAATTATAACTAATTGACTGTCATATGAAAAACATATATACATATATAAGTATTTGGGTAATATTCACGTTGACTCTGTGAAGACAATGAGGAAGTAGTTCATTTCTTAAATTAATGAAAACAGTATTAACGATGGAGTGGATTCCGATGCATATCAATATCAAGACTATGACTCATTTATTCCTGTGCAAATTGGCAGCAATAAGTGTTTTTTTTTTTTGTAAACCTTTCCAAAAAAAAAAGCCCATATCAAACTAAGCGACATGTAATCAATCAAATCCCAAATGGTGCGATGCATAGATAAAGATACAACTATAAAAGGGTAGCGGCTGTGCCTCACCCTTGAAGAGCACAATCAACTTCGGTGATGCCGTTGAAATGATGATCGCGGCCTTCAAGAAGATGGCACCCAACGGGTGTGCCTCCGAAGAAATCCCCGTGCTAGACCCGTTCACCAACGAATTCTCCACTTTCAACTACCGCAAAGGAGAGACTAGCATTGTGGGCAACGCGAAGAGCAACATCGGGCATCAGTGGCTTGTAGCAATTTCATTGTCCTGAATGCCGAATACGATCCAAGCTTTCACGTACCATATCAACTTCGATATCCTGTTCCCGGAGATTCAAATTTTTGGGATCCACTATAATGGAAGGAGTTTTCAATGTGCTTGGTTTCTCGTTACCC